ACGGTCCTCTACATTTGTGTTGTTTAATTATTGCAGCTTATGTACGATCCAAACTCAAAACTCTAATTATTAAAAATGAAAAGGCCGAAAGCCAACATGATGTAAAAATAACTCAACCATTGTATACCAAACGCTATCGAATTGTTGTTATGTCTACAATGACTTGTTATCGTAATCATAGTAGAGTGTCAGGACTCAAAATACTTGTACGATGGGGTATTGCACATACGCACCCTACTGTCACTAAAATCTTGGTTGCCCTTGAAGACAGTAATATTCAAGTTGGGTATTATCACATTTAACCCTGAAAACCGTTACATAAATGTACTTGAGGGGCCAACGTTGGATTTCTAGTTCATTTCTAAATCAACATCGGATTTGGCTATGTGTTGCTATTGCAGGTATGAGTGGCCAAAATTCATGTCATTACCATTGAAAATGTTCGCTGTGTTTGTATCAAAAAACTATGTCGAGCATCGAATTTGGGTCACACACTATGTATTTGAACCCTTGTTGGATCAGGGACGAGCTTATATATTATGATCAATGTATGATAAACATTTAATATTCCATCAAAATATTAACTAAAATATTCAAATGATTAAATTGAATTGAATTGAATCGATCATACCCACATTACGCTTCCAACTTTTTTGAATTGAGAATTGAACAACATACGGTGAATGTATCAAACATTGATGTATTTGATGAATTTGTCAACGTCGTACTGTTTTTTACATGTTTTTTATTAATAAAAATATGTCATATCACCTAAGCTAGTTTTTTTATGTTCCATTGTTTTTTATATAAAGACATCACCAAGTTACATACTTCGTCTCATATATTTCTCGAGTCAACAAAGTTTAACAAGAACAAGTTTCCACTTCCCTACGATGACATCTCGTTTGTTTTTACTCAGTCTCCTCATGGGGAGTTGTTCACTTGCTATGGATTCAGATTCAAGTCCTCTCCAAGACTTTTGTGTAGTTGCACCAAAACGTAGAGGTCAAAAAAATATAATCTTTAAATGTTGAAAAATGCTCAAATGTTACCTTCCAAATGTACAAGAACGTTGTTTACCAAATTCAGTCAAAATTCTAGACCCTCACATGATCTCAATTAAATTAAATTTTTAACATTCATTATTTATTTAGAAAGACTTGATACTTTTGTTGTTTATGAATGTACAGAAAATTTAATTGAACTTATTTAATTAGTTATATAGAAATGCTTTCAATTAAACTAGTTCAATCCCATTTTAAACCGTACAAAAATTAAGTCTCACAAATGATATCTAATAAATCAGTCGTTTCTACTTTTCCTTGTTTGGATGAAGAAATTATATCACTATAAAACAAATGATTCTTACCTACAAAAGTCAACCAGTGAAATTTCTGTTGGTAATTACCTACGTATCACCCAGAAAATACCAATAGTTTCGGTAGATTCTGATGTTCTTCAAAAAAATTCCAACGGATCACCTAGAAAACACATGGGTTATATGTCGCTGATTTGAGCCTCCCACCAATAATTTGCCCACTAACCTTTTTGACTTTTTTGTAATAATTCACCCCTTTAGCGACGAATTTACCAGGGAAACGTCTATGGGTAATAGTCTTCCATTTAGTAGTATTGTTTCATATAATTATCGATATTGAATTGTATGTATCTTGTTATGTTTAGTAGTGTGACGCCCAATCCCAAAGCATATGCTGTGTTTTTTTAACCGTAAATGTCCAGGTTAGTTTACGCGTAAGTCTATTTATAGCATGAGAAAAGGGCGGACCTATGAGTTGCTGAGCAGGGTCTTGTATGCCTGCTCAACTAATTTTTTCACAAGTAAAAAAATGGGTATGAAAGATGCAACTGCTCGAGAGATGTTCACAACTAAAAAACTATTTTGGGTAAGAAAGGTGCACACACTAAATTTTGAGCAATGCTTCAGTATATTAGCGAAAAATACAACTAACATGAAGCAAAAAAATCCCTCATAATCAATCACGAAAACCGAAAAAGTTCATGGAAAACAATCAAATGTGCACCCGCTCAGCAAAAATTCTTCGAAACCTTGTCATTTGCCTTAAAACACATCAAACGACTTCACGAGCCTTTGATCCATCTTAAAAGTGCATCCGCTCAGCAAAAATCCTGGATTGCCACCGGACAAAACCCTAGAAATAACAACTTAGAAAATCCCTTATACCGTTGTTATACATCTAACAGGACCTCTAAAAAAATTGAAATGTCGTGAATTAAGTATATCAAAATACTTTTAGACCTTGAAACACTCAAAATAATCTCATAACCAATGTCTACAAATTAAATCAACCATTTGACCCCATCAACAACAAATGTTCCTGTTTATCAAAGAAAAATGAGATCGTATTTGAAACGTTAAAAGTTGTTCATCTATTTGTTACCGCGTTAGTCGTAATTTATTAG